AGGGGTCCTCTTAGGCAGAGGTGGGGGGGAGGAGCTGTGGATGCCTGGGGCGCCCCCGGCCGCCAGCCTGGCCATGAGGGGCTCGGGAAGGGCTCCTGGCTCCCTCTGGTGGCTGTTGCGGCCGGCCTGGGTTCTCCGCGGCTCCCTGTATCCAGGCGGGTCCCTCTCGCCTGTTCCAGAAAGTGCAATAAACACAGAAGAAGAAGAGGAGGAGGAAGAGGAGGAGGAGGAAGAGGAAGAAGAGGAGGAGCCCGGCCCCAAGGCCCAGCTGTGGCCCTCCGACTACCAGCTGCTCAAAGTCTTCATCGTGCTGTAAGTCTGGAAGCCGGCCGTCATTGGTGCGGCCTGGGCTCTCGGGGCCCCTTGGTTGCTGACGCCCGTGCTGCGGCCGCTGGCTGGGCCCTCACGCGAGGCCTGTTTCTCTCTCTCTCTCTCTGCCCCCTCCTCCTCCTCCTCCTCCTCCTCTCAGGATCTGCCTCCTGGTGCTCTCCTCCTCCTACCTGGCCTTCCGGATCTTCCGCCTGGAGCAGCAGCTCTGCTCTCTGAACCGGGACTATCTCTCCCGCGTCCCCCAGAGGTGAGGCGCCCCCTGCAGGAGCCGCAGAGGGCGGTTGGGGGCAGGATGGCATTTTTGACCCCTCCCACTTTATTTTAACGCCCACAGATTGGTGGTGAGGCTGGTGTTTTAGGTCCACGTGGACCCTGGAAGCGGCCACCCGCCACTCTTTCCAGGATTAACACTCTGCCAGTCGGGTTTCCTCAGGGCCTGGGGGCGCAATGGGCCCCCCCCCGGGCTTTCCTCTCCTCTCCTCATCACACTGCCTGCCCCCCCAATCAACTCAGCCTCTTTCTCTTTGTCCACAGGTGACCGTGGGCCCCACCCCACCCCCAAAAGAGTTCAGGGCAAAGAGGGCGCCCCTTCCAGTTTCCACGTTCTCCTCAAGACAGGACCACGGATCCCTCCCGCGGACCCGGACACCTTCCGGGACCAAACGCTCTTTGCTTCCGAGGCAGACGCCACAGAGGGCTTCCTGGTGGCTCTTGGAGCAGTTCCCCAGGCGGCCGGGGCACGCGCGGCCACCACGAGGAGGCTCGGGCCCCGCCACGCTGTCCTGCTGCTGGTGGCTCCTATGTCCTTCTCCTCAGCCTCCGAGGGCGCGGTGGTGTCCGTTGTCCCCCTGGAATGCGGCAGAACGTGGGAGCAGGCTTCTTCTGCCCGGGGTGGCCCCTCCGTGTCTTCCTGGGGCCCTCCATCCAAAGAGGGCGGCGACTGTTACTACAGACGGACCGGACGGTGGCTGGCCTCCGGCCTTCCCTCCTCTGGGCCTGCTTGTCCGTGGACGAGGAGCAGGAAAGCGCCCTGAAGCCGGGCAGGGTGGAACGGCCGCGTGGGCGGCTGGATGTCTTCTTGCAAAATTGAAGGGGCTGGACTTGAGGAGGGGGGGCTGCTCCTTGAAGCACTTTATGGGGGTCTCCCCAGACGACCCGGAAGGGCCCGCCAGACGGGCGATCCCGGGTGAGGCCGGCGAGGGCCATGACAGCCTTTAGGGTAGGGTCCCTTCTGCTCTGGGGAGGCACCAGCCCTCCTGGGTGAAAGAGGGGGAGACACTGACGGGGGGGGGGTCGGCTGGACCAGGACCCTCCAGTCCAGCCAGAGGGGGAGCCGGACCTGCAGGGCCAGAGTGTTGGCTGCCACTGGGAGAGAGGGAGGAGGGCTGCGCTTGAGCGGGGGGGCGTCTTCTACCGCACGGGGCAGTGGTCCTGTAGCCATGGCCCTTTGGGGTGGAACCTGCGCCCCCCCTTCCAGAGCCCCAGCCAGCCGTACCCCTGGCCCTGCAGGGCCCACAAAGTTCTTCTCTTTTTCTCATTCTAAAAGATGGAGAGGTGTGTGTGTGTGTGTGTGTGTGTGTGAGAGAGAGAGAGAGCGAGAGAGAGTGGGTGAGGGTTTTCGACAAGAGAAGGATGGCAGGCAGGGGTGCCCCATTTCCCCCCTGGCCTTGCCCCTAAAATGCCACGGGTGGGCTGTGCAAGTGTACCTCACCGTCTTGCTGGCGAGGGAGTGAAGGGCCTCGGAGGGAGAGAGCAGAGTTTGGGGAAGATCTTTTCTTCTGATGGCAGCTCAGCCTGGCCAGTGGCAGGGCGGATAGTTTCTCAAGGTTGCTGGTTTGCCACCCCCGTCCGGCCACTTTGCCAGGGCAGCCCCCAGTGAGGGCTGATGGGAATTGTAGTCAAGGAGCATGAGCAGAGGCTGTTGCCCTGTTCACCACTCTCCTCTGGACAAGTGGGGCCAAAGTAGGGCCCCCTCGGACCAGCTGGGGCTCCTGGCCAGTCTGGCTGGGCTCAGAAAAACGGCCATCCCACTGGGAGGAGCGCACGCACGCACGCACACCCTGAGCCCCCTCCCTCCGGTGCCCTTGGCTGCTGGACAGCTGGTGGGCCTCTTTCTTAGCAATAATGTCTCAGGTGTTCCATGGACTGCTCGCCACCAGGTGTTGCAGGAGGTTGTCATGCAACCTTTGTGTGGATGTTGTTTGGTTGTGGTAGGAGAGAAAAGTCCTTCTGCTGACGTGGGGCCCATCGTCTTGGCTGCCGGGTGGGGGGGCCCTTCGGCAGACAGTGCCCAGTGG